TCTGGTGTATATTCTTTCATTAAGTAACTCGAGCCTCCTTGACCAAAAGGTTATTTCTAATAAAGAAAAATTACTTTTAATCTCGAGCCTGTGGGGCCTCTAAGGTGTGATCTGGTCACTATTGATGGATATCTCTTCGTCCAATCCTGCCTTCTGGCTACAGTGTGATGATGCTGACAAACAACAAGACTGAGCAGACATAATAAACCTGTAGATTTAGGATTTTCAAAATATTACAAATTAGCTTACTCGCAAAGCAATATGCCAATATGATGGAATCCGTCAGCAATGTTTGCAAAGAAAACTGATTTGCACACCAGACTGCTTCGTTAAGAGCCCATCCACATTGGGACTATTAATAAATAATGGTGCATCAATTGAAATTTAATCAAGTGCTGGGAGATTATTTGATCTGTAACATATAGATGGACATTTTTCAAAGTCGGTGTGTAATAGGGATGGAAAATAATGTAATATTGTCATTTATTGACTGTCAGTGTAGTTTTGCATGATGACAGTTTCATGTTATTTACAATAAAATGTGGTGGGTATGGTATGGTCTAAATGGACGCTTCATAGAATATGATGCATTATAGTGGATCGGTTTGACATTATATGTCTTAATAGGACCTATAACGCTCATTTTCAGGTTCATACTTGTATTGAAGATTTCTACTAAAACTTGTTTACACACTTAAATGTTTAAAAAGCATTTTATTTCCCTCATACTGTCTGTGCTGGAACACATGTATACACCCTCTGTCTGAGAGGGGTCTACTCCAGCCAACATTTGTATGTGGGGTCCATGTGGGTAGTAAATGGGCCCTATGTGTGATTGTCTACGGGTTCCATACTGGCCCCATGACATTTGCCTACATGAGTGGGATTACCCAAGTGGGTCCTAGGTTAAGATGCCCATTTTGGACCCAAATCCACTTGGTACCCAAGTAGCCCCAGAATTACCCATATGGGGCCTGCCTAGGCAAACCCATCCATGTAGGCAATTGGCATGGGGTCAATGTAGAGCACATGGACAATCCAATATAGGGCCAATTTTCACCCCATTTACGACCCACATGGGCCTCACACATACAAATGTTGGCTTGGATTTGGCGCCTGTCTATTTACCTCCCAAAAAAGCCCTTGTGTACTCTGATTGGTCAGCGTATCTGGGTCTTCTGTAGAAATGACTGTAATCACAAATAGTGGCACCTTTTACCTTATAATATCACTGATAAACACAACCAGACATGTTCAGGAATCTGATCCTAACTTGGGAGAAATTTACAACAACAGCAACCAAGTTTACATGTTTTCCTGACATTAGCATGTAGCTATACGTATGTTAGTATAGTGCACTTGCAGCAAGGGAATGACAGTAACAGAGAATGTCGGCACTTTCTACCATGAAAAATCACCAATAAAAGCTTCTAAACACAATCAGACATGTTCTTGCATGAATATGATCCTGAATTGGGGAGAATTGTAAAACAAAAGTAACCAAGTTTATATTTTCCTGACATTAGCACTTAGCTAATGTATGTTAGTTTTGTTTTTGTTTTTTTTTTTGTTTTTTAAAAGATGTTTTTTGGGGCTTTTTAGCCTTTAATGTATAGGACAGACAAGTGTGAAGGGGGCAGAAAGAGAGGGAGTGACATGCAGCAAAGGGCCACAGGCTGGAGTCGAACCCGGAGCTAATGTATGTTAGTAGTGTACTTGCAGTACACTAGTATAACAGAGTGTGTGAAATCCCCATTAAAGCTTCTAAACACGGGGCGTTGGTGGCTTAGTGGATAGAGCAGGCGCCCCATGTACAGGGCTGTTGCCGCAGCAGCCCAGGCTCGACTCCAGCCTGTGGCCCTTTGCTGCATGTCACTCCCTCTCTCACTCCCCTTTTCACACTTGTCTGTCCTATACATTAAAGGCTAAAATGCCCAAAAAATATCTCAAATAAAAAGCTTCTAAACACAACTGGTCATGATCCAGCAGGAATATGATCCTAACATGCATCCTTACATGTTTCCCTGACATTACACATGTATGTTAGCATCATAATTGCAGCTGTGGAATGACTGTCATGAAGAATGGCTAGACATTTTTGTGGATTATCACAAATAAAAGCCTCTAACCACAATCAGGCATCTTTCCAGCAGGAATATGATCTGAACTCTGGGAGAAATTCACAAAACGGCAACTGAGTTAGCACGTGTCCCTTAGGTTAGCATGCAGCTTCATGTAGCAGTGTAGCCTTCATAATGTCAACACTTGCAGTAGCATGCCTGGAGCAGATGACCATATAAAGATATCCGGCACACTATGATGTCACACTGTCGCCAGAGTAGAAAAAAACTGCTGGAAACATGGTGTTAAAAACAGTAAACAGTAAATCTCAGTAAACTGAGATTTTTGCGTACAGGGATTGCATCTTCATATGTTTACCTCAGTATCTGAAACTTTAGCCATATTTAGGCCTAATATGAACATCCTTTATCTTAACACTATATATAAGACATAAAATACAGAAAAGCATAATAGGTGGCCTTTAATAAGTGTTAACATAAAAAAAAACTAATAGTGCAGCTTTAATAATATTGTGATATTCACTTTAACCGTGCTATCCATACATAGCTTTTCATTCACATAAACAATCCTAAATTCTGTATTTACAAGGTGATCATGTCATTACTTCACACCAGTGTACAGCAGAGGTCTGGTTGTGCCACTACATTTCCAGGTGTAGCTAACGTCTCCTTTAGAAAAAGCACAGCCATCAGTTTTACAGTAAAATGTAACATAACCATGTCACTGTTTCATCGGGCTGCCTGTCTGGCTGGTGGCCAAGGAAGTATTTTACTTGGAGAGCAGAAGCGACTGACAGATGCCCGAGCGGCAACAAAGCATTCATCAAGGCATCTGCAGGCTGTGAATACAGAGGCTGCCTCTGCTTGTATCCACCTGCAGCTATTAAGACTGCCAAATCCCAGGCATGAGAGGAGCTGGCTGAAGCAACACTCTGGTATCACAGACCTGACCTCACTAGACAACAGTCAGCTCTGGGTGTTAAACCACCCCATCCGCTCCATACATCACTGTTATCTCTATCACCCCTGTGAAGATTAGCCTTCAGCCTGCACTACCTACCTGTTCAGACTGCTGCTGTTGAGCAAAAACTCGGAGAACCCAGGCAACATGAGGTGATAACCCAAAAAAACAAGGTTTATATTCTGAAATGTGGAAGAATGCACTGACATGTACAAGATGCGTTCAGGTCATGCAGGTCACGCTCCAAAATAAATCCAGTATACAGCACTACATAGTATTTTTTTTTTTTTTTTTAAATTTAATCACTCTGATTGAGTGTGGCTCTTTGTGTGTAAAAAACACATCGTTTCAGCCTTTTGAAATGTGTCATTTTATACAGTTTATCATTGTGTTCACCTCTGCTGAATGAAACAATGGATGATTTTGAGTCCCAATTTAAGTCAGGCTCCCCAGAAACACCCTGAAGCATACCTGGAAGACACCAAATTGGGAAACATTGTTTACGTGCTCGTTTTGCAAGCAGGGAGAATGTAAACAGCAGCGATTGACAGAACTTGCAACACTGCTGTCCTGGAGGAACAAGAATAAAACCATGATTGTTTTTATGCTCTGGATTGTCTCCTGTGTTTTTTTTTTTTTTTAAATGACGGGAGCCTGGTGGCCGAAGTCTGCCTCCCTCTGTCATTATGTGGTGATGAGGATGTGAAGGGGCCCATATGCATTCTCTAGATGACCCTCCTGAGAGTAATCGACAGGGCTACATGAACGTGGCAGGTTTATTAAGTCAGTGCTTAGAAATTAAGCCACAAAGTGGCATATTAATCATCATTTCAGTGGACTAAGTGACAGAGGAGTGTGATCACTGAATACAATTTTAAGGGATGAGGGGTTGCATTTGAATGAAAACGGCTAATGGCATATTTATTACGCTGTAGTGCTTTCCTGGGTGGGAAAGGGGTGAATGAGTGTGTGTCTGTGTTCCTGTGTGTGGGGGGTAATTTTCCTTTTAATGATCCCTGTGTATCAGCACGAAAACATAATCAACATGAAGGGCTCAGGACATCTGAAGAAGGATTTGAGGTACCCAGTGGCTACACTTCAAATATGAGATAAACATCAGACAGTGCAAGCACATCCAGGACACACACAAACACACACATGCAGGCAGATAGTCACTATGAGATAGACTACAGTAGGTGGCCACAATTCTTCTTGGAATAAGCTTTGTTTTTTAAATCACAAACTCACTTATTTGGGATATTTTATACTCAGCTATTATAATAGACTGTTGGGTTATTTGGATTCAAAATGAGTGTCCACTCTGCAAAACATAATTTCTGATATATATATTTCGCACTGTGTGTCTCATAATAACACATAAGACGGATACCAGTGTAGTGCCTGAGAAAACTCTGTGAGAAAGCCACTGTTCACAATGTGTGATCTCTCGCGGCAGGTGTCAACCTGCGCGTCAACCTGATCTTCTAAAGACTGATGGAATGAGGAGAGGAAAAGGCGCACTGACTTCTACCTTCACCAACATCCTCTACACATATATGCACACCTCATGCGTGTCTTGCAAACTGACTGATCGCTGCATTAACGGTATAACCTGTCTCCACAACGCGGGCTCTCAAAATGCAAAACCCCTCTTATTGTAACTGTGCGCTGCAGCCTGGCGGAATGCGCAAAGGATGATGATGTCTCACTCCGGTACGAAACACTGTTGGCTGCCGAGTCTTAACTTTCTTTAAAATGCTTTGATATTGGATATGTGGAAGTATGAAGCACATGAATGGGGATCATGTCATCCTACACAGTTACGCGGTGCCTGTGCAAACGCATGGCAAAGGAAAGGCGGTGAATTATCTTTGCGCTGCAGCGTGCAGGCAGCCAGGTACACGCTGAACTGTACAACGATCTATTGCATAGCACAATAACTTCGACGGATGTCTTACCTGTTCAGGAGAGGAGACACGACAGTAAGCAGAGGAGAGGAGAGGGGATGTCGGGCGGAGAGCCGAGGCATACAGCCTGCACTGTGGATGAAAGGAGTGCTACACGTCCCGGCAGTGAACTCCAAAGTGCGTCTGTCTGGTTTTTTTTCCACGCCAGTAAAGGACAGCGAGATTCAGACCAGCCCCCTTTATATATCAAACTATATCCAGCTGGACTCCTCATCACCATGGCATCTAATCTAAGAGTCCTGCATCATGCATGTGAAGCATTTGGTGGTTTTGTGGAGGCAGCGATCTTTACAATGAAATCATGTTTTATCAGCTAAATGTCCTAAAATACACAACATTATGTGCTGTTCATGAACCTTCACACAAGTTTGATAATTTTTTTTTTTTTTTTTTGGTTTTGTTTCCTTTTGAACCCTTACATGCATTGGTCATTGGAACATTCACTCTTTAATTAGTGGTCAAAAGGAAATAATTATTTGAATGCCACAGGAGCATTCTTTAAAGTGTGTAATGTTAAAAAAAATATTTTCATTAAACTGTCAAGCTGCAAGTTGCAAGGTTGTGATCTGCTAAACAAATCGAACTGCTCAGTTAAACTTGCGGTTTTTGCCCACTTTGGGGCAGTGAAAACAACTTGTGAACACAATATTGACATATCATTACCTGCTAACCTGATAGCAAATAGTTGCTGAAGTACACATGCAGCAGTTACAGCAACATTGTCCTTCATGTGGAGTTTTATATATGTCCACCTGATGAATGTAAATCCAGTGTTCACTTTCTTTTAGCTTTGTTTTGGTCTCCACCAACTCCTGAGGTAAACATGCCAACACTGAGCTAAAACTTGCTCCATAAAGCGGAGGGGAGCTGCAGATTAATAATAATTCTCTGCAGGTTCATCACTGCAAGCAACACCTCTCACATTACACGAGGCCCAGACTGGCCTTCAGGAAGTTTGGGAATTCTTCCCTTTGTTAACACCTTATTTTGAAAACTGGACATCACGTGTATGTTTCTGCTAACGTCACCAAGTCAATTGCTAGCTCTCCTCATCAGCTTGATAAGGGCCATCTGGATGCATTTACCATGAGAGTCAGTATATGGGTGCACTACAGTTGTAGCGTTGGCTGATTTGACCATGGAGATGTGAGTGATGGCTGGCTTGACCCAATTATTTTTAGAACGTGCCCTGCGGGCGACTCACTGGCTCCCTGCGGGCAACCAGGCGCTTGCGGGCACAGTGTTGACTATCCCTGATAAGGCATATAATATCAGATAGCCAGCCCAGCAATACAAAAGATACTTATGTAAATATAGTGAGCTGTATGTCAATATGTAGTGTGAATATAGTGTGCTCTTGTGGATGGTTCTAATTTAGTTCCGTGTTTAAACAGTGTTGACTGTTTTGCAATATTTCAAATAACTCTAAACAGCAGGCTTGTAGGTGATCTTTACATGAATTCAACTTTAAATGGTAGCTTTCTGTACATGTGGAGGTAAAGTTTGGATAATTTGTTTCACTGATTGGCATATTAGCCACAAACAATACAAATTAACACATTTTTTAAATATGTATTTTATGATTCATTCATTGACAACCATGTTGTGTCAGTTCAAATTTAGTGTATCAAATTGGGGCCACTTGACACCAAATTCCCAGTGTGCTTTTTGTTGACACTCCGCCCCTGCATTACACATTGTCATTTGATACATTGTTATTAGTAAAATATGGAGCCGCTTTAGGGCAGCAATTTATCCATTATATTAGCCAAGCAAGTTGATATTGACTATTATGCTATTATGTTGTGTAATGTCATTATAATTGTTGATATTGATTCCCATGACTGTAACCAAAGTGTAAATGTCATGTAAACAGCCATCCATTGTGTGATGTGAAATTTTCTGAGGTATGAAATGTAAAATGATCTGTCTGTGTAAAATAAAGTGATAAGTGATGATGAGAATCACAGCTGAGATGTGATCCACAGTAAATAATTAACTGTACATGCCTGACAAAAGTAACTGATAAGGAGCAGAGATCCCTTTACATTTCCATGGGTCATTTTTGACCCTCTCATGGAAAATTGGGGGTAGGAATAGACAAAATGTAATTTTTTTTAAAAGTTAGTTAAAATATGTAGTCTAAAAAACAAAATATGAACTGGGGGGGGGGGGGGGAGGTCAAAACATGTTTTTTTGGAATACCTGTTGAAATACCTGTGACTTGAAATGCTGAAATATTTTTGTCACAAAAATATGCAGAATCAATCACTGGCCAACAAATATTCCAGTCCCCCTTTCCTCGTAAATAAGTCAAATATCTTCCATCCTTCCACCCTGGACCCAAACCAGAATGAGGGTGCTGCATGTCATCCACCGGTGTCACCCCTGTCAGACATCCCTGCCCTCTGCTGAAAGTAGATTAATTTATTTGTACTTCCCCTTTATTTCACTCAAGGTAATGACTTTGAATTTCACCTATTTTTTAATTGAGTTCTGGGCAAGAAAGCTATTTCTGCTGAAACAATAATCACATAGACACAAAGATAAAAGTTAAGTAAATTAAAAGCATTCAAGATAATTGAAAATGCACAAGAACTGAAGGAGACCTTGAAACCCTGTGCTAACACAAGACATATGCATTCTGAATGATAAACAACTGATAATATTAAGATATTATGTGAGAAATTACAAGAGAATGGAGTTACATAGATGAATGATTGTTTGAGTCGACTCAGCTTGCAAGCACCGAGCACTTCTTCTACCAATTGTCTTCTAAATGAAAATGTAGAAATCCACACAAAATCTACATCTCAAGATGCATCAGACAGATTTCATTACTGTGGCACCAGCATGGAAACACTGCTAAAAACCTGAGATTTGACACATTTTTTAGGGGACATTCTTCTTGTCCAGACAATAGAGAGCAGGAATTTGGATTCTGGCCTCATTCTGAGGGCCTTGGCCAGTAAAGCAGCAGAATGAGAGAGAAGTCATTATCTTTACAGATGATAACTCCAGGGGCCATTCATGTAAGGACAAATCCCAGAGGAAGGTACGCCAGCAGTAGGCACATTATTATCAATAGAGCCAACTCCCTTGTGAAATTCCAGTCCCCCAAAATAGAAAGGAAGTGGCGAGGGTAGATTTCAGTTTCATGATCTGTGGAGAATGTGCTCGGGATCCAGGAATACAAACTACACCAAGGGCAAATACGCCGTTATCAGAAGCGTTTACATAATTAAAGTATTCATTTCATGTAATTACTGCCTAATCCGGTGGGACACCAAGTGTTACATTATGAACTTCCTGATATTGAACAACCTGGGTAAGTGTTGCAGAGCACAGTAATATTATATGGGTTCAATCATTTGTGCGAGAAAGTGACATTTTTTTTTTCAGTGCTTTTCAGTTATTGTTTCTATAGAACCAAGCTCAGCTTCCTTTTTCAGAGGTTCCAAGAGAAACAGAAGGTTTTTCAATGGTCCAAATCACAACTGAGAAATTTATGTAGTGGCATTATATGGGCTTAGAAGTAACAAAAGTTATTATGCTGTGACCATAGTTCTGTTAGCAGAGGCAGAGCACTCTACTGGACTCTATGGGTAATACTCTTCTCTAATCACAAGCATGCAATCGGCTAATGAAATTTGCCTGAACGTATACTAATCATTACATACCTAGGAGAATACGTGCAGTCCCCATAAGACGGAACACACCACTGTCTGCTATCCTATACCCTCTTCAGCAAGCACTGTAGAAGCGACAGGGCCTCAAGGTAGAGAGCTCCACCTGTGCTGATAGAACCTGGGTTACAATATTGTGATCTTTCCTGTATCCAACACATTCTCATTTCCACCTCGTCAAATACGGAAGCTTAGTCAGATACTCTAAACTTCAAACAATGAAGCTCTAGGTAACTCTCAAATGTCTAGTTTAGACATTCTGGGATGGCATGTCAACTTACGCTCATTACAAGCGGCATGTTTTTTCAAAATAAATTCCCATTTTTGCCAGGAGATGCATGGTTTTTGCTTGTAGAGTGCATGCAGTCTTCCTCAGTCTTTGAAATAAACATCAAACAGTAAAACACTATGTTTTTAGGTTTACTTCCTTAGGTTAAGGCAATAAAAGCACATGATTAGGTTTAGCAAAACAATGTCACAGGTTGGCTTAAAATAACTACATTTATTACAAATTTAATGTAGGGTCACGTAACATACGGCCTACATCTCAAATGTCATGTAACCAGCCTTGCATGCTACAAATATTAGCTACGTTGATATTGAAATAACTCCACTTACTTTTGGTTTCAAGTGGGAAATGAACAGCTGTCTCCCAGGTGAAAGTCTCCAGTTTGTCTTACACCTCCCCTCCTGCCCACCCTATGCAGACTTTCTGGCTCGTTATACAACAGAAGTTGCTGGGAAAGTCAAAAAATATCGTCAGCCACTGCATCTCATACTGACACTAAAGGGTGCCTCTGTTCGTCAGTATCTGACGCTGAGGGCCACTGACCAAGCTCCTACAGGCTCTGCCCTCTACTGGACCATATAGGCACAGTGGGTGGAGCAGGGTGAATGAACATCCTGTTGCAACACAACATCTACACCAGCCACACTGATACTGACCGGCTGAAGGTTGGTTACCACAGCCCGCCTACTTCTTCACAGCAAAGAAGGAGGGGGTCCCAGCCTACCCATGTAGTATGCCACTGAACCGCGTAGAGCCATGGCCTGACCTCACAGGTCTTATGAGACAAGCAATAAACGCCCTGCACACCACATCAAGGAGCACAGGAACATGAGTAATATGCCCAGAGGGGCGTCATCCCAACATGCCCCGCTGTGACAGTCATCACAAGCAGGAAGTCCTAGCAGAGATGGGTTTTTTTGAAGGATAAAACTAACAATATAAAATGTATCAAATAGTGTGCTTGAGAGGAGCTGGTAGATTTTGTTACCTTTGGACAGAGCCAAGCTAGATCGTTCCCTCTGTTTACAGTCTTTGTGTTACGCTAGGCTGAACAGCTGCTGGCATCAGCTTCTTATTTACTGTACAGACATGAGAGAGGAATAAATCTTCTTATCTAACTCTTGGCAAAAATGCAAATGAGTTCTTGTTCCCCAAATGACGAACTAACCTTTACCAGTTTTATTTGTTTTTTTTAGACATCACAAAGCACTTGGTTAAGTTCAGGAAAAGAATGCTA